TTTGTTTGTTTGTTTGATTTTGTTTAACGTCCTATTAACAGCTAAGGTCATTTAAGGACGGCCTCCCCTGTGTGCAAGATGCATGCGTGTAGTGTATGTGTGTGTATTTTGGGAGGCTGCGATATGTTCGTGTTTGTCTCCTTGTGATAGCGCGGAACTGATGCCGACTTTATAGTGCTACCCCACTGAAACATACTGCCGAAGACACCCAGCAGGACGCCCCACCCGGTCACATTATACTGACAACGGGCGAACCAGTCGTAAAAGACAGCTACTGTTGGATCCTCCAGCAGAACTGTAAATTTGCTTTTGTGACTTTTACATCGCGAAAACATCGACCAAAGTAAAACGTCTTCTGCACTCTATGTCAAATATGAAACTGTTATATAGTGTCATCACTACATAAATTCTTTAAGTGTCTTACTTTTTTCATACCTCACTTTTGGTCTTAGTGTTGTACGTGTGCCTAGGTTAGAAAAGCGATGGAGTCTGTACCAGGCTCGGACATACAATTGGCTAACCCATTGTCAGTATTATGTGACATGTTGGAATGCTGTTCTGGGTGCCTTCGACATGGTATTTCAGTCAGGTAGCACTTTAAATGTCGACAAAAGATCGAAAGAGGCAATTGAACCAAGATACAGACTTTTGCATACAATACCCACATACACACATACATTACACACATCAAGGTAAGCACACCAACTAACCCTGTCTCCTGCATACACACATGCAAGCACGCGTAAACTTCACACATGGCGGCACGTCCTTAAATGACCATAGCTATTAATAGGACGTTAAACAAAATGAAACCAAACCAAACGTCCCTCAATAAATATAGCTGTTAATGAAATTTTAATATCAGTAAAACCAAACAAATCATCGACTTAATACGACGTGCTGCTAAGAGAAAATAGATCTGAAATATTTACTGCAACAGAATTTCTTTCTGAAATAATGTTAACATAATCGCATAATCACTCTGGAGACCAGTTATTTGAAAATCTTACCTCTGGTGGGTATCTTTTAAGTATTTTGTTGATGAATATTTGACCCTTCTCTGATTTCACAAAAGGACAGTCAGAATACCAGCGTGCATGTTCGACCCAGGGATCGTCATTATACTCCCAATTACAAAGTGCACCATTACAGAAGAAGCACTTCACACTATCTTTATCCCCTTAAATGCAAAAACATGCGATTAACTAGTTTAAATCTTTTTAATAAAAACTTTATTTTATACTTACAGGTGATGTTTATAAACTTAGTGATCAAATATAGCAAAAATGTTTTCCAATGTGTAAAATTAATCTAATAAATATAAGTATATATTAAGAATAATAGTTGTCCTGTAATCCGATGCGTACACGCTACGGCTAGATGCTAATAGCCGAACCGGCAGATGTCATACAGACCTACGTTGGGCATCAATCGAATAATTAAATATGCTTACTTACCTGTATAAAAAAACCCTGCCTCAGCGAGGATATCCCAAAGCCTTATCCGGGTTTTGGGGAAATAACTGAATGTATGTTCCCTCCTACTCAGTTCAGAGTAGTAAGGGTAGCGGGGAGTCGTTGACATCTTTATGTCAGATTAATGATTGATGTTGCCTTTGTAGACACGGTTTGACTGAAACTGTAAAGTGTCGAACGTTAACATGTAGATATAGACAAATTTACACGCGTACATTAAGTTTTATATCGGCCTCTCTTTCGATTTTCTTCTTGGTATTGAACAGGATCTTTCTAATTGTCATATTGATATGAACGACGATACCTGCAAAGTTGCAAAGGAAAAAAAATCATACCGGCAGATTATTTTGGGAGCTTACGTATTGGTACCCCGACTGTGTGCCAACGGTGACAGCTATAATGACATAACATCGACGTATTAGCCGACGTAAAACAAAAAGGTACAATCCGTTACTCAAAAAAAAAGGAATTTATAAATTAATAAATAAAATAAAATAAAAATAACACCACAAACCAAAACAGAAATTAAGTTTTTAAATAATATATACAGTTGTATGACCGCACAACGCACCAAAAATAGCGTGCATTCACCGTTCATACATCGTTCACACACCGTCCGCACATCGTCCACACATGGTGCGCACAACTGTGCGATTTAACAATCGTTCGCCCCGTTGTGCGCTTCTCTCCGCACATCTGTGCGATTTGGTATAATTTGTAGATCAAAATTACGGAATGACAAAAATACCGAAGGCTCGTATGCGATAATGTACACTTTGAATATATCTGTAATTTCTCATCACAATAATCAAGATGATACAATTTCACAATGCTGACACAGAAAGCTGATATGCGATACCGTATGACCGTAATGAATAGTATTTGTTATTTGCATTCGTTTGCCTATAGCTCCCATTCACCTGGATTTCACACCCCCGGCCTTACCCGACGAATTACGTAAGTGCCCCAGGCGAGGGGAAAACTACGGTCCAGGTACATGTACAAAGTGGTTATGTTTACCTGTATACGGGATTGTGTTGTAATTTTACATGTGTCGATTAAGTTTGTTTAAAAACACCGAAAACACAATTTCTAAATATAAAAATGTATAGACAGAAAAATAAGTTTATAGATGTAGCTAGAATATAAAAACATACGTAAAAATCAAGTTTATATGTTTAAACACAAAACCGTATAAATTGTTAAGGCATTCCTCAATTTACACAAACCACGATTGTTATCGCACAACGTTCGTCCATTGTGCGCACAAATGTGCGCAAGCAATGATCGTCCGGCTTTTTATCGTTTGCCCATCGTGAACACACCGTTCACACACCGTGCACACTTCGTGCGCACACCGCACATCGTGTAACGTTGTGCGATCCCACAACTGTAATAAAATTGATTGAAATCGAAAAAATGGAATATTTTACAGCATAAATATCCAAAACTAATATCTTTATTTCCAAAAATTACCAATAATCTTTATAATTAAAGCTGGCGTCTAAAAACACTTCCTCCCTACCCATTTCCTGAAATACGTCGACACTTTCCCAAATGACACAGTATTTTCCTATTCGTTATGCGGAAGTGTCCGCCATATATCTGTCATTGAATACCTTGTCTCTAGGTAATACCAATTTGCGAACATGAGATTCACTGAGAACTATTGCAACAAGGCATCATAAGTGATACAAATCACATCACATACACATGCAATCTAACACATGTGTAATAAACGTAATAGAGCTTTTACTTTCCATTATTTTACTCCTCATTTAAACGTGCAATTGTTTGGGTGTAAATTGTGTTCACGTTTCAATAAAACATTAAAAAACATACTGTTATATAGGCGAAGTACAGGCCGCAAGGAAATACTACGCGATGACGGTAAGCTTTTGTAGTAAGGATATGTACATTATCCCAATCATCCACCACGAAGCAAACTTAACAGGGCCTTAAAAGAAAACAAATTTTATTATTTGAAAACATTGTTTCCAGCACTATCCATCTATATAACACTTGTAATTTGAAGAGCAAAATAACAAAAAGTGTTCGCGAATATCATATTCTTTAAAGTATACCAATATTAAATAAATCAAATGAAAAATATGCCAATATCATATTATATATACCCGTTTATTGTGCCTATGTCCTAACTGATAACATGCACGAACAATAGGAGAGAAAAATAAATTATCTGACCCTCAACCCGTTCTCATTATAAAATCTCTTGCAATTTTACTGGAATACTTTACAACTGGAATATGCGCTTTGAAGATTGAAACGTTAAGAATGAGTTCAAATATTTGTATATTGCAGCGAGAGGGCTCTCACATGAACATGTTACCAGATCCGACATGCTTCTTGTATTTACTTTTCCTGCACGTAGTTCATAATAATTATTATAATTACTCAACAGAAGAGGACAATAATTAAGGTAAAAAACTTTACATGGGAAATGTTGTCAGCTAAACCAGTGTTGGAATACTTACCTTGAATACTGCTCTGATGGTTTTCCATGTGGTATTCCATTTTTAAGTCGTTTCGCTTGAGTGGTTATTAAGTAGTTAGGTGAAAAAACGATGATACAGAACCCAGAATTTCCTGATTAAATGAAAAGGTTGTCTGTTTCAAAAACAAAAACGATATGTAAATAAACTAAAATATCAAAAATTATGTAGAAACATGTCTGTTTGTGCTGGTATAATAACACAATGGTATAGCTAGTGTTTTTTCTGTACTGATAAGCTTACCGTGTCTGTCTGTATGTCTGTTTATGCACTAACTTGTAATTGGTCAAGGTGCTGTATTAATGCCTATTAATTTAAAATGTGTCAAGGTACGACAAAATATAGGGAAATAAAAATGTTTTTGTTACAGGTAGATTGTAGAGGTATACGGTAGATACACACAGTTGAGTACATACATACGATACTACTAGACCTATCGAGCGGTCGGTGATATAAATAAACTGAGAAGAGTAACAACTGTTTCATTTGAAATTCCTTTAGTGCATGGAAGTTATATGAAAACTCGTGCGGAATTCGGGTTTTTGTCTGTGTCTTCTGTTTAGGAACATTTGAAGGTCATCTGCCCTCATTGAAACACTTGGGATCTATACAATTTCACATAATACGAGGTATGTACATACAATACATGTATTCCTACCCAGCAGTCTGTGATATGAATTAGGTCGTATTAATTAACTGTGATGAATTAACAATTGTATATAAGTTTAAGTGATTTGCCCTTTTTTGTTAGATACGTTCCAAATATTTTTAATACACAAAATGGTTTTGAGGCTTTCCTGCATAGAATTGCAATGTTGTTTTCAAACTTAAGGCTATTGTCTAGATCTACACCCAAGAGGTTAACACAATTTTTACATTTATTTTTTTCATAACCAATGTTAAAAGATGTAATAAGTTCACTACTTTTTCTCCTTAATGCATATAGCCTGAAACTTCTCAGGATTAGCCTCCTATCATTTTCTGTGAACCAGTTTATTGAAATTTGGATTTCATCATTGGAAATTTCTTTTCTGCTTATATGCGACAAAGAATTATCATCTGCATAATTACAGAGGCTACTGTTTTTAACAAATTGGAAGATGTCTTTTAAAAATACATTACAAAGTAGCGGTCCAACAATTGACCTTTGTGGCATCAGCTGATCCACTGCTGGCTGTAACTGAGGTAGCTGCTGATCAGTCAGAATGCAGGCTCATCTAGTCCATAGGTTCTCGGCTTTTCAGCAACAGACCACGAAGAAGCCAGTCAATCGCCTCGGACACATCCATGAGTATGGCACTTTTTAAACTGGTTATTGTCCAAGGCCTGACGCCGGTCCACAAAAAGTCTCAGCAGAACAGACTGAGCATCTTAAAATTCTTTTTGAAAGTAGATCCTATTATAGATGGAAATGATTGCCTACAGGATCTCTTAGATGACCTTGTGCCAATAGACATTGACGAAATACTGTAGTCCTACAATCACAGACAAACACCTTTTAGATGAGATTAGAATTACTGTGTGTCAGAACAGACGAGTGAGTGGGTACCACGAGCAAAATCGGGGGTTGGGTTCTTTTTTGTCGGTTTTTTTTTGTGTGTCAAATATCAAGCAGACTTATAGCACTGTTGGTTATGACAGTATTAACTAGCAAAAAACGTAAAATATCCTCAAAGGATATATAGCAGTCGCATAGGTTTCATTAACATTGGTTACCGTTCAAAGAGAGATGACCCGTAAATAATATAAGTTGCATTCTGATACCGAATGCGATAATTGAAACTGTTTTTATATCGTTCCTAGAGACAACATGCGTAAGTTTAGAATGCTGTTATGAAGTTAAACAAGTCGTGTATAAACATTCTAAGTGACTCGAGATTCTTGGTTTCTACTCACGCCACATACACAAAGTCACGTTGTTAACGCATTTTGGATTCATAATGAATTACAAAGAATATGAACCAGGTTTTGGTTTTAGAGGGCAAACAGGTCGAAGCATTGTAATACATTTTACAGAAAAAGTGACGGTTTGACGGCACATGACCAAGAATATGGTTACGTTTAGCCGTTGACACACCGGGATCAGTTTAGATTGTCATGAATATATTATGTTTAATTTGACGTATGATTTACAATATATCGTGTAGTATCATTTTCGGTAAGCTTCATGATAATCGAAAAATGGTCGAATTACATTTGGTCGAATTACAGTTGGTCGGACACTGCTGTCCGCGATGACACACTAAATCCCTAGTAAATAGTGCCAAACACAGAGCATTACAGTGTTTCTTTTATAGGTTATTCACTTACTTGTATGGTAGTTCATTATATGATCATGTCGGACACTCGAGTTCAGTTTTCAAGCTGGTCAGAGTGACGATCGGATATCTCAACGGAGGCAGCCATTTTCTCTAAATTTTGTGACCTAACGCTGATTGGCTTTTTAATATGACGTCACAAGATGACTACTTTTGATTTTTACACGTTGGCAGAAATTGTTAGTGATCCGTTTGTTCGTCGACATAGGATTCACTTGTTATATAAAGGAAACTAAACCGGAAGACGGATCATAAGATGAATTATACCAAATACAAAGTTAGCTGAATTCTCAATAGCTTTTTGGGGTGGAAAAAACAACAGCGTGTTAATCAGCCCTTTTTATTTTAATCATCTTTGATCCAAAAGTACTAAGAATGATACCATTAGATACCATTATAATTATTTGAAACTTGCCAATTATTTTGGTTGAGGTGGCCTAGTGATTAAGGCGTTCGACGTCTACGATAACTAGCTCTCCATAGTTGTTAGTAGGACGTAAAGCACAAAGTTTAGATGAGGATGACGCTGAAGAAAATTCGTAACCAGTAGCTACCTGCACAGTTTAATTAAATATATTCAGCAGTACTTTTACACCAAATCCACCTACCAATGATAAAGACCATGCTTGCGTAGATTCTATATTTACAAAAGGTATATTATTAGACACACGTCGTTGTGAGTGTCATGTGAAATATATTTTCCTCATGCAATCATACTGTAGGAGATATAGAACCTAAACCGAAAGTACGACACCAGGACCCGTGAATAGATACAACTAATCTATGACATATCTGACCTGCTTTTAAAATTAGTAACTAATACCTGTATACGTGTACCTGTACATGATTGTACCAACAACAATAACGACAGGTCTGTGCGCTGGAGTGTGACGATTAACATGATTATGTACTTCCATAGTCATTTGTTCCAATATGAAGATAAAAGATTAAATGTCGGATCATCAAAACATTGAAGGTATTTAAGGTATGGATTTATCGTTTCATATTTTATTGACAAAAAGTTATTGCAACAGTATAAACTTTTTGTTGTAATTTTCGGAGAGATTTGCTGTTTAATTAAAACGCCTAAACAGAGCTACAAACCAGTTACAAAATACTACAACGGTCAAGTTCGCGGTTGAAATAGTCGGCTATGAAATCAACTGAAGCACGCTTAACACAACCTTGATGTACCACAACAAAGGGCTAAAATATTGTAACCCATCATATATATATAATTGATCGTTGAATAAATTTCACCAGACTGGTTTATCCTGAAGTTTGTTTAATACGCTATAGCAATAATATTACTAAGTAATTGTCAAAAAAACAGTAAACTGTTATGTTTGCTGCCAAATAGTATATGAAGTCAGCTTAAGCCTTTATCTACGATGGCCGATAGCAGCCGACACAAAACAACTACAATATAAGACATTTGTGTACATGTACATTTTTTAAAAACTGTACATGTACACAATACAACTACAATATTGGACATTTGTGTACATGTACACTTTTTAAAAACTATACATGTACACAATACAACTACAATATTGGACATTTATGTACATGTACACTTTTTAAAAACTGTACATGTACACAATACAACTACAAGTGCTATTAACATTCCTTAACGGTTCGGGTCAACTTGATATTTCACACGTGCCTGATGCGGCGGTGAATTTAAAGACCAAACGACAAGGAAAGGGAATATGTTCATAAATCAGCGAAGAGGCGATAGAGGTCACCACACAGTGTTGCTACATAGACTGTACAAAATATTTCACTAGTTGATGCTTGAAGGCGACTTAATATCATCACCTGAAAATGGATATACTAGAAAAGTTTGACATGAGTAATTATCAAGTGTTTAATTTTCTTAATATTTTCTTTGTATGTTGATTGGTCTTATTTCCTATTTTTAATTTGAAAGAAATGTAACAGACATAAACCATCGTTATACGCATATCTATGTGGGCTTTACCTAATGTATGGATTGGAGTCATAAAGTAGAACGTTGCCTTGTTCAGTGTGAATAGTTGATTGCTAAAGTCAAATATAATATAATACTTACTGTAACAAAAGTTGTATGTAGATTGTTCTGAGAGAAATAACTAGTGTTTTATACCAAGGCAATAGCCTCCAAACTTGTGAATATGTCACATGGAACACTTTAAATTACGTATTTGGGGTTATTGAGTTAAAATTATAATTCTATATACAAATTAAGTAACTACATGTTTTTGTTTTGTCTCCAACCATTACTCCAAAATTCACATACAAATTATATGATATTTGGTATACCTCTGATTTGTGACCGTCTAGTACTGTTTGACTTCTGGGGAATCTAGTAATGTCCTTGTCGTTTATTAGCCGCCGTATCAGACACGTGTGAAATATCAAGTTGATCCGAACCGTTAAGGAATGTTAATAGCACTTGTAGTTGTATTGTGTACATGTACAGTTTTTAAAAAGTGTACATGTACATAAATGTCTTATATTGTAGTTGTATTGTGTACATGTACAGTTTTTAAAAAGTGTACATGTACATAAATGTCTTATATTGTAGTTGTTTTGTGTCGGCTGCTATCGGCCATCGTATTTATCACATTCACGTTCCCTCCATATTCGGAGAAAGAATGTTGTATCCCATAGCATGAAACATGTATCACAATGGTCGACTAATGTGGGAACCCATACAGAATAAAAAAAAAATCTGTGTCCTTTGGTTAGCGGACAATAAAGAACAAAAACCGATCTGCTGCACCCAGTTGAAACATCATGGATCTATATGTAGATATATCTTTTTTTTCTCACTTCTTTTCGACGACGTCTCACTAGGCACGGGCTTCACATGCCTTGTGGACCGTATATACGAGTTCAGAAGGCTTGGGACTAGCAAAAGTGCACTGCTTATGGCACCAATGGGCTTTCGCATGTATTTTGTTTTGATCATTTTTTTTTATCTTCAACAATGTTTTCCGTAAAACACACTCGGTGCATTACACATTTTCGTTGCCGTTTAAATGACTCATGTTACTTCCTGATATCAAGTATCGCGGTTTCGGGATATTACTTCCGTATTACGATTACCAAGAAACAGATCGAACACTACAAGGAAAAAATTACAAACGACTTTTGTTGTATTGGATATATATACATGTGTAATATCTACTTCTATGGGCCGGTTAAAAATTCGTAAAATAGATTGATAAACTTTACCTGTCTTTATAACTACATGTAGAGCAGCAAAAGCAAAATTTCTTAATTTGCTTAATTCTTATTTAATTTTAACTTAATTTCCGTGCCGTTGTGCGCTAAATTTAGATATCATTTTCAGAAGTCTATTTATTTAGAAGAAAATTACTCAGGATTTCCTTTGACGCAAAAATATGTTAACAATGTATAATTTTCTACTGATATGGATAGTTTATCCCCCAACATTAGCCAAAATTTTCCTTTCAAGGTACAGTTACACCCGTTCGTGAAAATTATTTATGAAAAATGAACAAGTATTTTTTTAATTGATCCTATGATGAAAGATACAATTAGGTACAACACGGGTTATGTTAATACCGTTCCTATATCATGATTTATGAGTGTTTGTATGTACACAAACAGATTCATATATTTATTTAATTAAATGTTGTAAAACAACAGGATTATTCAAAATATGGAGACAAATTTAGTAAAAACTTATTTTTTGTAAATATGCTGATTTGTGTTCATGTTAATTGAACGTTGTATGCGCTCACAGAAATGGCTGGTGGTTCTTTACATACACTGTTTTATAATAATCGTTAGGGTAAAGTGGTGCTAGTACATGTATTCATATGTAAATGCATCCTGTGTGTTAGATATATGAGTGGCCTGGCATAATGCCGTTGGTTGTAACAAAAATAGACCCATGCAATGTTTCGTCTGATAAGCTCATCACAATGGAATTACATGATTGCTAAATATAACATTGAGTCATGTGTTTAGTTCCTTGAATCAGAGGTATATTTATTTCAATATCCTACCTCATATATTTATTAAAATAGATCCATGCAATGCGTCTTCTGTTAAGCTTACTATCGGAAATAATTGATCGCTAAATATAACGTAGAGTCACGTTTATTTAAATAGTCTACCTAATAATCATCTAATCATAGATACACGCATTGTTTCGTCTTTACAAATGTTATTTGTTTAAGCTTATTAGAGGAAATACCTGATTGCTAAATATAACGTTGGGTCACGTTCTTCATTGAATCAGGGTGGATAGTCGACTACGGCAGGGAAAACTCAAACAAGGTGCACTAAGTTCACATGATTTTATAAATACTTCGATGATATCAGGTAGTTTCATACAGAGTCTTCTCGGAATCAAACACTCTATTTCACATTGCTCCACTAATATATCTCCATCAGAATAAGGTGTAATTCGCATGATAGTGTACGAGCACGAGGTATAAACCAATGTGGAGGTCTCTCTAATTGGCCTACATCGGCTGCTCACGGCTCACGAATCTTTTATTATGAATTGTCACGTTACTATTGTAACCCAGTGCACTTTGTACATATAATATATATACACGTACATGCACGTAGCCTCCCTTGACATTGTCCTGTGTTGTTATGTTATGTAAATGTCTAGCACTGACCTGGACTTCGGACAGTACGCAATGCAACAAATTACATAAATAGTTTGATTGACTGGAAACAGATATTGCACGCTTCATTTTCCCGCCTGTTCTTCCTTACTAACTTCCTGTTAAGCTGACCAACCCGATATTGAGTTAAACATATTTTATTTGCATCAAAATATACATTGGGATTGGGCACAAGTTTTCTAACTTATATAAAGCCCTTTGATTAAGCATAAAAATAAATTAAATGTGGACAATATTTTTCGACACCGACGGCAGAAGTTTACACTATACACTTTTCAAAAACTTTCATCTTGAACTATTGTCCAATCAAATCCCGTGCCTTGATTTGCTTCCTCCTTGTCGTTCCATTCGTTCTTGAATATCCGTTTCTCTTCTGCCGTCAGCATCGAACAATATTGAATACCAGAACATTTAATACAAAAATACAATCTGATTTTTATTATTACTATTCGTTTATCTATTTAAATAATAAAGAGATATCAAAATCTATTAGAGTCTGAAATATATTGCTGGGTGCTTTGACATATTTTAATGTTGTCTACTAAAGATAAATTATTACTACAATGTAATAGTAACTGCAGGTCTAGCGGGATGAATCCATTCAATTCACGGTACAATTATTTAGTCTGCATAATTATAACAAACAAAGAAGAAGTGGTATGAATCTTCAATGGGATGACCGCACTGACAGTGACGGTAGACAATTAAATTAGATTGGAATAGATCATCATTTAAAGTACAAGATCTATTTCTCAGTCTGGCTTGCAATATATTGGATTTCCGATTTCCGATCAAGTAATAATTTGAAACTTTTGTCATGCTGCATCATCAATAAGGGGTGGTATAGTATTGGAGGTGTCAGAAGTCTTTAAAAGTCTGCGGACAATTTTCCAAAACATTCTAGGGTTCGAACCAGAATAACGATCTAAAATGCCATGTATGTCCCCAAAGATAATTTCTTTAGTGCGTTTTTTGAGATTGTTAACATGATTACGTTGTTTTCTAAAATTAGATAGGCTAACTATAGAACGGTTAGATTAAAAAAAAAAAAAAAAAAAAAAAAAAAAAAAAAAGTCGGTCTATTTTCCTAATTTATCGTCGTAAGTCAGAATTGAACCAAGGATTGTCATTAGATCGAATCGTTACAATGTTTGTAGGTATGCACTCCCCATCTATTTCTAGATATTTGTCTGTAAAATGTTCACTGTCGTCCGGAGAGTGCGCAGTCGAAAACAAATCTAACCAGTCAGTATCGTCTAGTCTATTATTAAAAAGTTCATAATTAGCCTCACTGTAACATCTTAGTTTTCCTTCATACGTCCTCGGAATAACAGTCCCAACAGTCAGTTCTACAGTCGTCGCTCTGTGGTCAACCCGATATGTGAGTCAGTATGTGTCTGGCTCGCGAGGGCGACACATCCCCTATTTGTCGCAAAGACGTGTCACTTTCTCTTTGATCTAGCTATGGTATAACCAACTTATTTTACACAGTTTTACTAATATCATATGGTATTAGTGAGGCTCCTCCCCTATACTGAATACAATAGAATTCTCCATTCTCATTGGTCAGCCTATGAAATTTTACAGTGGCCAATTAGTGAATGTTAATAGGATATCGACACCGTGGGAAATAACTAAAAATACAAATACAGGAAGTTCAAACTCATTTTATTAAGCAACATTGTTGCAAACAATTCAACAAATTTCGCCTTTACGGACAGGTTTCACGCTCGATCTTTTTTCCATTTTGTAAGTTAAAGTCTTAGCATAAACTGGTATAATTTTTGTATCTCCTTACTTCCAACGGGATCCGGGAAGCGGCTTTTAACGGGCATTTCCTATTTCTCTGGCTCATCGTTGATCGCCGAAAGTAAATAATTGTCAAATATTCCGAAATCAGCAGGAGTTAAGTCTTTTAACACAGTTTCCGTGCGGTTTTCTGGATCACTTTCAATGCGAGTCATCGACTGAGACAAATGGATATCGTCCAGGTCGTCAAAGTCGACGTCTGCCAAACTTGGCCTTGAGTTTGAGACGAAGTCCGACATGTTGCAAACTTTTTTTTATAATGACCAAATGATCTCTTAAAATTGTTACTTGACACTTTATGCGACAAGTCGGTTACATCATAGGCCTCGCAATCTGTCAGTTATCGTACTCGAGGGGCGGAGCTTACATCTCTCGCGCTACGCGCTCGAGAAGTAGCTCCGCCCGTCTCGTACAATGATATAACCAATACTGAGCTAGTATACATCTAGATGAGATTCTTACACATCCTTACAGAAATCGGAGAGTAATAGAAGGGAAGACCAGATAGTCTGGTAAGCAGAGTGGGTGAGTGCGTGTTCTACTTTCGGTTTCTATGTACATAATGTATAGTGTCCGCGTTATAGTCTGTTTCATTATTCAGGGTGTAAGAGTGTGTTTGTTTGTTTACAGGTTTTTATTACAAGTACGGAATAAAGAACCAAACTCGAAACGTCTTATCGTTAATTGATTACGACCCTGTGTGACACTGTAATACCTGCACTGTTGGCGTTAACACGTAAGCTATTTTAGTTGTACCTCCTACATTCAATGCCTACAAATGTTTTATGTAGGTTCCATATTTTTGGATATAATGTCTGTTTATATTGTCGGATAACTCAACACATTACGGATATATGTCATTTTTATACGCCCGTCAAATTTGACGGGAGTATTATGGTATGGCGTTGTCCGTCCGTCCGTCCGGCGTAAACTTTTGTTTGTCCGCCAATCTCCTCCTACATTTTTCGACCGATCTCTCTTGAAACTTGATATACATTATAATCATGATTAAAAGAATTTTGATTCGCCTTTTTTGCAAAAGTTATTGCCCTTTGTTCATTTCAGTTTTTGATTTTTTTGTCCGGAGATTTTCTCCTACATTTTTTGTAGCACTCTTAGAATGATGCAGATCTTATTTCAATGTAAGTATATAACACTATATGGCATTCAACGGGCGTATATTGTTCCGCCCCGTGGTACTCTTGTTTCTCTAATGTTGCCTTTTGATACATAGTATATGTAGCTTATCTGTACCTTATCGTGAATATCGCAAGACTACTATAGGGATTGAACGGCGTTTTTTAAAATTTCATGCCCTTGTAACAGCCACTTCTTTTCCCCCTTTGATTTGTTTGTGGGTGGAGGAGGGGAAGGGGGATAGGAAGATTTTTTGCAAACAGATGCTTTCCCCTTCGGAATTGATTTTTAAAGGAGGGGGAAATATTGGCTGGCTGACTCTTCCCCTGTTGGTATTAGGTTTTAAGGGGGAAACTATCAGCTATTATCTAGGGGACACTATAGGCTAGCTGATTCCTTTCCTCCATCTGTATTAGCTTATATGGAAAAACTATTCCTTAGCTAAATCTGTATGCCTTCTGGGTTAGTTCAAGTTCTTTAAACATGGGAGACTATTGGCTAGCTGAATATTTTCCCCTTTTTATTTGTTCATAGGGAGGAAACTATTGGCTAGCTCATCCCTTTCCCCTCCCTGTATTTGTTCATAGAGGGAAAACTATTGGCTAACTCATTCTTTCCCCCTCTGTATTTGTTAATAGGGGGGGGGGGGGGG